CTGGGAAGGTGAGCTTTTCGATTATAAAAGTCTTACCTCGCGTGACTCCATTTTTTGGAGTAAGTGAGGTAATATATTTGGGCGGTTGCTTTACCCGAAACACTACCTAGGTAGTGTCTCCCACCCATCCTCCTCCTCTAACCAAAAAAAAAGGTTCTGAGCGCTGATTTGGGAAGGCTACTAGTATTTTTTTTTAATTTGTCTGTTTGGGAATTCAGAACAGTGGGAATGGATGTTAGGGCAGTTGTATGCTCCTCCTGTAGAATGTGGGAGGTAAGGGTCACCACTAGTGTCCCCACTGACTTCATCTGCGGGAAGTGCACCCAACTCCAGCTCCTCGGAAACCGTGTTAGGGAACTGGAGCTGGAGCTGGATGAACTTCGGATCATTCGGGAGGCTGAGGGGGTAATTGAGAGGAGTTATGGGGAGGTAGTCACACCTCAGGTACAGGAAAAAAGTAGATGGGTTACAGTCAGGGGACGGAAAGGGAACAGGCAGATAGTGCAGGGATCCCCTGTGGCCATTCCCCTCAAAAACAAGTATACCGTTTTGGATACTGTTGGGGGGGACGACTTACCAGGGGTAAGCCATGGGGTACAGGTCTCTGGCACAGAGTCTGTCCCTGTTGCTCAGAAGGGAAAGGGGGAGAGGAGGAGAGCATTAGTCATTGGGGACTCCATAGTTAGGGGGACAGATAGGAGATTCTGTGGGAACGAGAGAGACTCGCGGTTGCTGTGTTGCCTCCCAGGTGCCAGGGTCCGTGATGTCTCGGATCGTGTTTTCGGGATCCTTAAGGGGGAGGGGGAGCAGCCCCAAGTCGTGGTCCACATAGGCACCAACGACATAGGGATGGGGACATAAGGCAGAAATTCAAGGAGCTAGGGTGGAAGCTTAGAGCTAGAACAAACAGAGTTGTTATGTCTGGTTTGTTACCCATGCCACGTGCTAGCGAGGCGAGGAATAGGGAGAGAGAGCAGTTGAACACGTGGCTACAGGGATGGTGCAGGAGGGAGGGATTCAGATACCTGGATAATTGGGGCTCATTCTGGGGTAGGTGGGACCTCTACAAACGGGATGGTCTACACCTGAACCAGAGGGGTACCAATATCCTGGGGGGGAAATTTGCTAATGCTCTTCGGGAGGGTTTAAACTAATTCAACAGGGGGGTGGGAACCTGAATTGTAGCTCCAGTGTACAGGAGGTTGAGAGTAGTGAGGTCATAAATAAGGTTTCAAGGTCGCAGGAGTGTACCGGCAGGCAGGAAGGTGGTTTGAAGTGTGTCTACTTCAATGCCAGGAGCATCCGGAATAAGGTGGGTGAACTTGCAGCATGGGTTGGTACCTGGGACTTCGATGTTGTGGCCATTTCGGAGACATGGATAGAGCAGGGACAGGAATGGTTGTTGCAGGTTCCGGGGTTTAGATGTTTCAATAAGATCAGGGAAGGTGGTAAAAGAGGGGGAGGTGTGGCATTGTTAGTGAAGGACAGTATTACGGTGGCAGAAAGGACGTTTGATGAGGACTCGTCTACCGAGGTAGTATGGGCTGAGGTTAGAACCAGGAAAGGAGAGGTCACCCTGTTGGGAGTTTTCTATAGGCCTCCGAAAAGTTCCAGAGATGTAGAGGAAAAGATTGCAAAGATGATTCTGGATAGGAGCGAAAGTAACAGGGTAGTTGTTATGGGGGACTTTAACTTTCCAAATATTGACTGGAAACGCTATAGTTCGAGTACTTCAGATGGGTCAGTTTTTGTCCAATGTGTGCAGGAGGGTTTCCTGACACAGTATGTAGATAGGCCAACAAGGGGCGAGGCCACACTGGATTTGGTACTGGGTAATGAACCAGGCCAGGTGTTACATTTGGAGGTCGGTGAGCACTTTGGTGATAGTGACCACAATTCGGTTACGTTTACTTTAGCGATGGAAAGGGATCGGTATATACCGCAGGGCAAGAGTTATAGCTGGGGGAAAGGCAATTATGAGGCGATGAGGCAAGATTTAGGATGCATAGGATGGAGAAGGAAACTGCAGGGGCTGGGCACAATTGAAATGTGGAGCTTGTTCAAGGAACAGCTACTGCATGTCCTTGAGAAGTATGTACCTGTCAGGCAGGGAGAAAGTGGTCGAGCGAGGGAACCGTGGTTTACTAAAGAAGTTGAATCTCTTGTCAAGAGGAAGAAGGAGGCTTATGTAGAGATGAGGCGTGAAGGCTCAGTTAGGGCACTTGAGAGTTACAAGTTCGCCAGGAAGGACCTAAAGAGAGAGCTAAGAAGAGCCAGGAGGGGACATGAGAAGTCTTTAGCAGGTAGGATCAAGGAAAACCCTAAAGCTTTCTATCGGTATGTCAGGAATAAAAGAATGACTTGAGTAAGTCAAGGACAAGGGGCCGGTCAAGGACAGTAGTGGGAAGTTGTGCGTGGAGTCCGAAGAGATAGGAGAGGTGCTAAATGAATATTTTTCGTCAGTATTCACACAGGAAAAAGACAATGTAGTCGAGGAGAATACTGAGATACAGTCTATTAGACTAGATGGGATTGAGGTTCATAAGGAGGAGGTGTTAGCAATTCTGGAAGGTGTGAAAATAGATAAGTCCCCTGGGCCGGATGGGATTTATCCTAGGATTCTCTGGGAAGCTAGAGAGGAGATTGCAGAGCCTTTGGCTTTGATCTTTATGTCGTCATTGTCTTCAGGAATAGTGCCAGAAGACTGGAGACTAGCAAATGTTGTCCCCTTGTTCAAGAAGGGGAGTAGAGACAACCCTGGTAATTATAGACCAGTGAGCCTTACTTCGGTTGTGGGTAAAGTGTTGGAAAGGATTATAAGAGATAGGATTTATAATCATCGAGAAAGGAATAATTTGATTAGGGATAGTCAACACGGTTTTGTGAAGGGTAGGTCGTGCCTCACAAACCTTATTGAGTTCTTCGAGAAGGTGACCAAACAGGTGGATGAGGGTAAAGCGGTTGATGTGGTGTATTTGGATTTCAGTAAAGCGTTTGATAAGGTTCCCCATGGTAGGCTATTGCAGAAAATATGGAGGCATAGGATTGAGGGTGATTTAGCGGTTTGGATCAGAAATTGGCTAGCTGTAAGAAGACAGAGGGTGGTGGTTGATGGGAAATGTTCATCCTGGAGTTCAGTTACTAGTGGTGTACCTCAAGGATCTGTTTTGGGGCCACTGCTGTTTGTCATTTTTATAAATGACCTGGATGAGGGCATAGAAGGATGGGTTAGTAAATTTGCGGATGACACCAAAGTCGGTGGAGTTGTGGATAGTGCGGAAGGATGTTGCAGGTTACAGAGGGACATAGATAAGCTGCAGAGCTCGGCTGAGAGGTGGCAAATGAAGTTTAATGCAGAAAAGTGTGAGGTGATTCACTTTGGAAGGAGTAACAGGAATACAGAGTACTGGGCTAATGGTAAGATTCTTGGTAGTGTGGATGAGCAGAAAGATCTCGGTGTCCATGTGCATAGATCACTGAAAGTTGCCACCCAGGTTGATAGCGTTGTTAAGAAGGCGTACAGTATGTTAGGTTTTATTGGTAGAGGGATTGAGTTTCGGAGCCATGAGGTCATGTTGCAGCTGTACAAAACTCTGGTGCGGCCGCACTTGGAGTATTGCGTACAGTTCTGGTCACCGCATTATAGGAAGGATGTGGAAGCATTGGAAAGGGTGCAGAGGACATTTACCAGGATGTTGCCTGGTATGGAGGGAAGGTCTTATGAGGAAAGGCTGAGGGTCTTGAGGCTGTTTTCATTAGAAAGAAGAAGGTTAAGAGGTGACTTGATAGAGACATACAAGATCATCAGAAGATTAGATAGGATGGACAGTGGGAGCCTTTTTCCTCGGATGGTGATGGCTAGCACGAGGGGACATAGCTTTGAATTGAGGGGTGATAGATATAGGACAGATGTCAGAGGTAGGTTCTTTACTCAGAGAGTAGTAAGGGCGTGGAATGCCCTGCCTGCAAAAATAGTAGACTCGCCCACTTTAAGGGCATTTAAATGGTCATTGGATAAACATATGGATGGTAATGGAATAGTTTAGGTTAGATGGGCTTCAGATTGGTTTCACAGGTCGGTGCAACATCGAGGGCCAAAGGGCCTGTACTGCGCTGTAATGTTCTATGTTCCATGTTCTATGTTCTATGTTATTTCTGTAACTGAGAAGGGGCTGCAAAACATGCTGTCTGTCTCTTTAAAAGCCAGTCGGATACACAAGCCATGTACCCCTGTACAAGTTATCCCTGACTGGTGCCGTATATAACCTCAGGAACCTCAGAGTTCATAAGTTAGCTGGATTCAAAATTCTCACAAACCGACTCAACAGGAAATAATGCTGTCACAAATGCAATCTCAATTCTCCTGTAAATATTGAAGAGAAACTATTTACATGGCTGACTTGATAGCCTCTCACCTCTGAGAAGTTGGAGCTCAAGTCTCAAGTCAGAGCATGATTATTCTATCCAGGCTAACACTGCATCTTGATACTGAGAGACTTCTGTATTGACTAAGGTACTGTCCTTCAGATGTGACAGTGAGCCAACACCCCATCTGACTGTTCAGGGGACAGATAAGATCCCTTAGCGCACAGTGAAATGGGAGAGAAAGGGTGTTCATCTCTGTATCCATCAATTCACCAAGAACACTAATCTGATTAAATGATCATTTAACCCATTGCTCTTTCTTAGATCTTACTGATTGGAAATTTGCATACCTCAAACAACATGACTGAAGAACCAGATTAAACAGCTATTCCTCCCCTCTGTTATTGATGGGCCCTTACGTGCACTTTGGCTTCTGCACTTGACACAAATAAAAGTGAATAATCTTGGAAAATAATTGGTTAATTGTGATGTAATTTGAGACACTCAGAGAATGTGAAGTTTTTTATGTCATTTGCATGTTACTTCTTGTGAGAACAGGGATTTGTTTTATTCTTTGGCAAGAAACAGGCATCAAGTAAAAAAGAAATCAGTTATAAGAATGGAAAGTAGTATGGTAATTGACTTAACAAGAAAAAAAAATTATCGGTTTCTGAGTCATAGTGTGAAACTCATTCTAATTTTGTGTTGCCTCCTCATTTTTACAAAGCCCACCGTTCTCAGGCTCTGACCCCATGAAGACATATAACATTATACTTCGTGGAATTGACATGATTGAATTTCCAAAGAAGATTACCAAAAATGCTGCTAACCTCATCAAGAAACTGTGCAGGTGTGTTTCTACCAGATTTGGTCAGAGCTGGGATGTAAAACAATTTCAACCAGCTAACTGGTTGGAGTCATATTTGAGTAGTTGCCTATGTTTAACACCTAGATGGAGAAGTCATTGCAGACCCTCCTTCTCCTCCTGTCGCTCTAATTTGTTTTGAGCTGTGAGTCAGAACATGACCATCGAGAAAGTCAAACTCTCAGAGAGGACTTCAATCATTCAAAACATTTTTTCTGCTTTTGCAACAGGGACAATCCTTCAGAAAGACTTGGGAACTTGAAAAATGGAGTTAAAGACATTCAAAAGCACAAGTGAGTGGATCCTTAATCACACCTCTATGCAGTGTTGTGTTAGACTTAAACATTTTCCTTAAAAATCTTGTGGTAACAATAGAGACTTATTTTGTTTACAATACATGGGGCATAGTGGACCCACTATTTGCACATTATAATGTAGTAATGTGTGTTAGCTTAATGAGTGGATCATCCATTTTTGTCCCCTTTATAAAAGTTCTTGACTGTGGCATTAATATTCAGAGTTTTTTTTTCCTTGTTAGGCAACATTAATCAAGGTTCAATTAAAATGATTGAGTTTTTATTAACATATACATTGAGTTACTGATGCTAGTTGAAGATGTTAAAGTCATGAAGGGAGACAGCCGCGAAAGAAACATTGAGATTGATTTATATCTCTGACAAAATTGGAACAAAGCTTAGTTTTTTTTAAAAAAGTTGTCATGGAAATTTTTCCCATTCTGACGATTAGGTGAATGTCAATTTAGAAATTCTGGGTACCTACCCATGCAAATTGCCTGTACCAGATAATGGAGGATTAGCTCAACTCCAAAATTTAGTGGCATTTCCAACACATCCTCACAAGCCATGCTAGGAGCACAGAGGTGTCAGCAGTCAATACAGGCTTCTTGCACCAGGTATGATGAGATACAGCAAGGTGTCACAATGCCCAGTTGAGCAAAGGGCAGAAGAGTTCATGGTTTTTTTTCTAATTTAAGGGAAAGTTCCCCTTCAAAACCTGTAACCATTCTGTTGACTGAAGCACCATGCAGTATGGGTAGGTGTCTAATTTGAATGAAGCCTGGGGCCTAATATATGAATTATGCATGAGATTCCAATCTCCTTTGATACTCACATAATGATAGGCCTCAGGCTTCTGCATTGGCCTTTATGTTATAAACACTTCAAGAAAAATCTCATCTTCCAAACACTTATGTAGTATTTATCAAGTTAATTTCCTGTCCTGCACCACTTTCTGTCATCTTTAATTACAGCTAAACCTGCTTCTCTCGAAACTCTCTGGCAGCTGATTGCCACAGCTACAAATTTTCTTAGTAAGTGAGTCAACAAAGTTCTTCACTGAAGTGCCAATTAATGCCGCCCTCCCCTCGAAAACTTGGCAATTATATTATGCCGTTTCATCCACTTCATGTAGCTGCAATATTGGCTTGCCTGGTCTTCATTACCAGGAGGAAAGCTTGTCTAAGTACTCCCATCCCTCTGAATTGCTTTCTTCCTTGCCACAATATGCATGACTGGATGAGTCAATTTAACACAAATGCCAACCAGCTCTTTACTGGAGGGATGTCGGTCTTGAGTTCCTGAGAAAACTCATAGATTGAGTGGTGTCATTTTAAATCACCTTGAAAAATTTATCTGAAGGATGACTTATTGAAGGGACTATTTCTGGTCCCCCAATGCATTTGCAGATCTCAAAGGACTAAATCTCAGAGAGAACCCACAAAGACTCTTTGCTGACTTGCAATGTGCCTACTTTGGAAATTCTTAGTGCAGTTGTTTGATGTAAAATGGAAAATACTTCAACTTTTAGCAGATTTACAATGAAGGAAATTTGCTTTTTCTTTCCAGATGGTTTGAAGGTTTTAACTGGGAAGGATTAAGAAAAGGCACATTAACACCTCCAATTGTATCCAGTGTAAGTGTACAGCCAAGATATTTTTATAGAACTACTCACCATATCTGTATATCTGTGTTAAACAATTTATTAAATGGATCTTCCAGATTTCTAAACTGTTATTTGGTATGATTCTGAGGACGTTTCTAAATAAGGGGTTCAGGTGTAACTCAAAAACACAGGGCATTAAAGGCCCAAGCTTAGGTCGTTCTCGTAAATTCACTCCAAACTATTAGCTTTGTTGTACTTTGAAAATTTAAGGGATTTTTCTCTCCATTATGAGCAAGTGCTTTTGCACAGAATTACTGATAGCGATGGCTTTTTTTACTGATAAATAAATTCAAGTTGAGTGTTTGAGCATTCCATAGCTGGCAATTATGTTCAATAATCATGAGTAAAGCTCCATCAACAATGCCTGAAGCTGACTAGTATTTCTGTAGTCACATTTGTAGCTTTCCTCTTGATGACGGTGTGACAGGTTCTTACCTCTGAGTTATGAGGTCAGCTTTTCAATGACAGGGCATAAATACACTGTTTAGACTGACACCTCAGTGCTATGTGTATCTTGTGGCTTTGTCCTTGTGTTGACACAGTAAACTGAGACTCCAAATGAAGATTTGTTTGCATGCCGGTACATCCATATGTTCAACATGCTCCCCTCAACCAAGAATTAATTAGCCCTTTGTAAATCTGATTTTCTGTTTGTGGGAACCTGATTGCTGTATTCATGCTTATGACGACAATAACTAATTAAATCCAAAGTGATTTGAAGCACCCAGCCAGGTCTTCCGCAAATCCATGTCAGTTCTTTCTCTCATCCTAATTACAACCAAAACCTAATGAAAGTAAAATCAGGAGCAAAGAAAATGGCAAATGTTCCAAATACATGGCAAATCTGGCAGCATCTGGGATGCAGTGGGCCAGCCCAGACCCCCTCATAATATATCAAGAAGGTAGCCTAGACCCTAACTTTTTCTTATTTTAAAGGTAAATGTGAGCTGCTGAGTTCCAGATGCAATTTGATTGGTCATTAAGCATTAAGCAAAACACAATTTACTCAAACACTGTAGTTAAAAATACAAAAAAGAGGAACTTGGAATAACAACTCTATTGGAAATCTTCACAGAATGATAGGTGCAGCAACTACTAATTAACTGTTTCAATATGGTAACATCCCATAAACAAACCCTTGGCAAAAGGCAAATTCAGAAAACAGATTGTCTCATATGCAACTCCCATAGCAGTCCAGGAGGGAAAGCATCCAGAGAAAACTCAGTGTAGCAGCCAGGAGAGATTCACTGGTTTCCGACGTGCTGAGACCCCAGCAACAACTACTGAAAGCTAAAATAAAGATCCTTGTTCTGTGGTGGGAGTTTGACCACAGCCATTCAGGCTGCTTCTATTATTTCAACTTTAAAAAAGAACACCCAAGGCTTCACAAGTTGTTTATCTTCTCATATACTGCTCTCCAACTGTTTTCCCAATCTTGCCCTAAAAGAAACCAGGACAAAACACATCTCAACGCCACAGTATCATCATTGTGGAGGGAGAGAACAAGAATTAACACGTCCAGCATTAGCGACCATCCAAAACAATAAGAACAGAGCAGTCACAATCTAAAGTTGTTGATCTGAAAGTGAGAATGGGGGCAGAGAATTAAAATGTCAAATCACTGAAAACACAGTTTGACACTCGCAGACTGCACAAACGTGTTCAGCAAAGTGGTTACACAATTGGCACTTAGTCTCCTCGGTTTAGAAGAAACAACATTTTGAGACGTGGATACAACATGCTAATGGGAAAGCAGTACTTTATATCATGGTTCAAGCTGGAAGGTATGTTTGGGACCTTGGACCGTGAGAACGAGGACGCAAACTCATAATTACACATCTTAGGTACAGAATCAGATTTAATTCTCTATCATAGATCTTCAAAAAGGTATAAAATTCAAACCTCAGTTAGTTTCCTTGATTTCTTTGCAGCAAGAATGAATGTGGTGCATATAGACTTCATGGTTCTTTAAAGTTGAGAGGAGATTTGACGTTCCTGATTAGACACATTGTCATGTTGGGGGCCATAGCTGGTGCTTTAGCCCATATCATCTTACTTCTGGTGTCAATAGTCTGTTCCATCATTTTTGATCTTATTTCCTGTTTTTGATATATGCAGTTCTGACCTTTCTTTTAACTTCTTTACCTCTTTGCAAACCTTTCAATTATTGCATTTTTACACACTTCCATTTTTTTATGGATTGAGATGATCTTCATCTTTCTAGCTCTTCGAGAAAGAAAAGCTGTGAGCAGCTTGTCATCCCACTCACCCTTCCCTGCAAAAGGAGTCAGTGTTTCATATTCAGCAACATTTTGCAGATCTTATGGCTCTTGAGATTGTCAGAGACCAGACTTATCACCAAAAGTACTTGTCAGGACCCTACGGAAGCCCTGAGGCACGGTTCACTATAGGAGTTGCCTGGAATGTTTGAACTCCACCCATTTCCCAGGATTCGCCACAAAAGTCTTTGACAATAAACTTAAGTCAGAGACTTCAAAACTTTTTTTTAACATTTCAAAAATATAATATATTTGTAATAATATCTTTATAAGCATACATTGTCACTAAAGCCATTTGGTTCTGTATAGTAGCATATGAATTAGAATTAGAATCCCTACAGTGTGGAAACAGGCCCTTCAGCCCAACAAGTCCACACCGAACCTCAGAGCATCCCACCCAGATCCATCCCGCTATGACCCACCTAATATACACCCTCTACCTCCCTGAACACTACGGGCAATTTAGCATGGCCAATCCACCTAACCTGCACATCTTTGGACTGTGGGAGGAAACCGGAGCACCCAGAGAAAACCCATGCAGACACGGGGAGAATGTACAAACTCCACACAGACAGTCGCCCAAGGCTGGAATCAAACCCAGGTCCCTAGCGCTGTGAGGCAGCAGTGCTAACAACTGTGCCACCGTGTCGCCCAGAACAAACAAACACTGGAGTTTGACTCTATCCAACAAACAAACGAAAGGCATCTCTTACTTGTAAAAGAATATATTTACATACATTTGAAGCTCGGGGAGGGTCTGATAACTGAATGGTCCACCATTGAGCTTTGGCAGAAAGACCTCAGATGGTGGTCTTTCCCCACTGCACCTTGGTGACAGCTGCTCCAAGCTTTACTGTGTCCCTCAGCATGTATTCATGGACCTTGGAATGTGGCAGTCTGTAACACTCAGATGAGGTCAACTCCTTACTCTGGAACACCGACACGTTTCCAGCAGACCAACTCGGAACCATTCAACAATACTTACTCGGGAATTGTTAGAGATTTCAAACCTAGTCTAACTGGATAAGTAGAGACCTGACCCCACAGTCACAGACACTGACTGTACATAAGCCCATTCCCCACCTGTTCCTGAGAGATAGTAGGAACTGCCGATGTTGGAGTCTGAGATAACAAGGTGTGAGGAACGCAGCTGCCTGGTCTGATTTCTTCTTAGACCCCTGACTATCAATTTCACCTCTGTTCCCAATTCCCCAAATACCCTCTCACTAAAATAGGGAACAAACACATGTCATGAGAACATGGCTATCTTGTGCAACTATTCTCAGCTATATAAGTAGATTTACTGAATTTGGAGGCATGTCGTCCTCTTTGCCCTCGCCAATAATTATTTTAAATGCTAGAGATCTGTTTATATTTGTAAAAGGCTAAGAACTGGTGTAATACCAGTTAAAAGAAATCTCATGCTACATGGTAAATATTCAGCTTTAAGGAGACCCCGATTTCCAACAGTGCATGTTTCAAAGGCGAAGGATATGACAATATCCCAACAATTTTAATGGAGACTTGTGCCCCAGCATTATCTTTGCCTGTGGCCCAGCTGTTCCAGTACAGCTACAACGTACCCAACAAAGTGCAAAAATATGTTCAAGCATCTGCTGTCCACAAAAACCAGGACAAATCCTTCCTAGCCAAATATCACGCCTTCGGTCTAGACGTGGTCATCAGCAAAGTAATGGAAGACATTGCTGACAGTCCTCCCTGATGCTCAGATTGTATTTCACCAGGGCCACTTCAACACTTACAGCCTTGATCCAAAAAGGGACAAAAGAGCTAAACTCCATAGCAGAGGTGAGATTGACTTCCCTGGATATCAATGCAGCAATTTGACCAAGTGTAACATCATGGAGGCCTGGCAAAAATTGAAGTCAATGAAAAACAAGAGGAACCCTCCACTGATTGGAAGCATACCAAGCACAAAGGAAGATAGCTGGGCTTGCTGTAAGAGTTCCTCATGGTGATGTCCTAGGACCAGTCATCTTCAGATGCTGCATCGGTGACATTCTTGCTATCCAAACTGGGATGCTCATTGTGCAGTCACCAATGTCCAATATAGTTTGCAACTCCCCAGGGACAGTAGCCAATACACAGCAGGAACTCAACAAGATCCATGCTTGGGCTGATAAGTGACAGGTAACATTCATGGCACACAAGTGTCAGGCAAGAGAGAATCCAACCATCTCCCCTTGCCATTGAATGGGATGAACCCATGCCATTAACATAAATTAATAATGGGGAGAAAGCTTTTGGGTGAGATGTATATATCTGAAAGAGTTCATACTGTGAAGTGTCGTAAACACCACCCACTATGATGATGTCAAATGGACTTGTGGATAAAACCACTTAGGTCTTCATCCTCCGAGATCCTAACATTTGTTCCTACTCCTAGTCTCTGTAACAATGAGTGTCATACAAGAACATAAGAACTACAAGCTGGAGAAGGCATTTCAGCCCCTTGAACCTGTTCCGCCATTTGATACAATCATGGCTGATTTCATTTCGGCCTCAAATGCCTGCTCTCTATAACCCTTCAACCTATTACTCCTAAAAATCTGTCTACCTCCTCCTTAAATTTACCCAATATCCTAACAGCCACTGCACTGTGGAGTCGTGAATTTCACAGATTAATGACCTTTTGAAAGAAGTGATTTCTCCTCATCTCTGTTTGAAGTCTGCCACCCGAGATCCAAAAACTATGACCCCTTGTTCTGCATTGCCCCACATGTGGAAACATCCTTTCTACGTCTACTTTATCAATCCCCTTTAGCACCTCAGTTATATCTCTCATTCGTCTAAACTCATCAATGTAATCTGTATCTAGTTGCTGCTTTGCGATAAACTACAGCTTCAAGGCAATATGCTCTTATCATTAGACCACCAAGTGAGTTTCCTGTACCACACTGGATGAAGAAAGCCATGTACATCCCTACATTTAGTAGTATGATGGCAGAACAACAACCACATGATGAGGTGTAGGCTTGTTTCACTTGCACATACGTAGTAGCCTCTACCACTTAGAAGGATGAGTGCAGTGGATGCATGGGAACACCACCACCAGCAAGTTCCCCTTCAAGTCACACACCATAGTCACACACCATCCTGACTCAGATGTCCACATGGTGAAAATCCTGGAGCACTCTTTCCAACAACATTATGTCTGTGTCTGCACCACATGGACAGCTGTAGTTTCACAAGATTTCTCATTACCACATTACAGCATCCGCAGTTCTTCCAGTTTTTTTTTTAATTTTATACTGTTTAAAACAGTTTTCTTTGTTTGTTATAATGTTGTACCCTTTCGAGTCTCCGTTCAGTACTGAGAGCAGGAAATAAGAGTTCTCTTATTTTGATTCGTCGATTAAAAATGCCATGATGTTTCTTATTGCAGGTCACATCCCCAACAGACACAAGCAACTTTGACAGTTTCCCTGAAGACAACGACGACCCGCCTCCTGACGACAACTCCGGATGGGATGCAGATTTCTAAATTTGTTCCTGAAAACTTGCTTCTGCCTTGCCTAGGACAGCATGTTGGTCAGAGAAAGTGGAAAAGAGACTGCCAGTAAAATGGAAAAGAAATCAGAAAGAGGATTAGTGCTCTGGGTCACCATGATGCCTTGACTGATGCCTGCTCCACTGACGATGATGGCATTAGGAGCGATGCCGTTAGACAATTGCAATGGTGTTCCTTTCAAAAAAAAACTCTAGATTTGAATGGAAAAGTAGCAACTTAGATGGTGGTCCTAGAGCAACTTGTTTTATTAGCATACATGTAAGGCTTTCCCTTCACTGAGGTGACTAGTGCTTTGCTCCAGAGACCAACTAATACTCAAAAGGTTAAAAATGGGTCGTTTGAACCAGTAAACGTAGGGTTTTTTTCTAATTAAAATAAAAAGACAAATGTAGGTATTTATTCAGGGGATTTATATTCAGGGGACTATGATACTTAATATAGAATTGAATTTGGGATGTTCCCATTCCTCGATTGCGAGCGTGCACATCTCTGTGTGTGTCAAGCCAGTGTGTATGTATCCCCACCCCGTCCAAAAGGACCATTAAACCACACTTTTCACGTTAAGTCACTTTATTCATTATTAGTCTGGATATTAGATCTCTGTTCCAATGATATATTTAAAAAGTGGCATCAATATTTAAGTGCATAAAGCACAACTGCTGTTGCTATTGGGACTTTGTTTCCACTCCAAAATGAGTGCCTGCCTGATCAAATACTATTGAAATGGTCTCCTATACCTTATAAAGGCAAATACCTTTCTCTGTATCACAATGTAGAAATACAGAAGGTCAAATACTGCCTGCAGATGCATTTTAATAGTCATTGTTTGTGTTTGACATGCCACTGGATTTAAATGCTGGCTGAAAACTATGGGCTTATGGAAACTGTGTCTAATAATTTGTTATTACAGTTAGACTTCTAAGTCATGCTGTCAAAGAAGTGTTTTTTTTAATCTAGCTTTTTTTCAGACTTCCTTGAATAGAATTCAGACTTCCTTCCCAGACAGCAACATCTAAATGGATCAAATAAAAGCAATAAACTTTTATTTTAATCCAAACCAATATTCATCCCTCAAACAACATTGGCAAATTAATCATCCAGTTGTGTGTGAGACCATGTTTTGCACAAATTGACTGTCACATTTCCTACATCACAAAAGTAATTAGACTCATTTTAAAAAAAAAGAAATATCTGACTGCAAGTTAGTTTTGGACATCCTAGGATTTGGACAGGAGTTGTATCAAAGTAAAGGGAGTCTGTTAGCTCGGTTGATTAGATAGCAGGTTTGCAATTCAGAGTAACACTAACAGAGTGGGTTCAATTCCTGCACTGGCTGAGCTTACTACAAAGGACTGTCCTTCTCAATCTCTCCCCTCATCTGAGCTGTGTGACCCTCAGGTTAAACCACTACCCATCATCTCTCTCTAATGAGAGAGCAGCCCTTTGGAGCATAGGACTATGGTGACTTTATCAATGTAAGTCCTTTCTTCATCTACTCTTCTGTGCTATTGTAGAATGAGACCACTAAAGGGCACAAAATGAGGAGATAATGAGAAGCTGAACTAAGAATAGAAAAGCTGGTCACTACCAGCCATTCAGTAATTTTACGAATGCTGAAAATGTACCTTAAAACACATTGGTCAACCTCAATACTAATAAGGCATCTCTTTGAATTTAATCTCCTCTCTTTACTTAAGGATAAATGCTCTTTAGAAAAACATGGATGTAACACCTTACAGTCCACAATTCACCTGGATGTTGTTTTGGATTATATCTTGGAAGCCACCATAAAAATTCTTTAACCTGCAGATGCGAAATGACCAACCCTTCTTTGATAGTACAAAGTCCTGCAGAATTAAAGAAAAATGCTATCACATTTTCCTAGTGCCCTTTCCAATATTCATAGATGTTGCAACTACCAATTGTGATTTTTAAAAAAAATCCACAATGTTTTAGTGTTTCTCGGGCTGCTTGTCTTGAATCATGCTCTCTCTGTATCAATGAATTCATTGAAAGAGTTTCAGGATTGTAATGTCACTTTTGATACTGGTGATCAAAGATGAATGTAGAAATGATGGAGGTGGTTTTAAGAGGCCTGTGGGTACAATGACTGAAAGTGAAGGAGGAAGCTCTAGATACAATCTCAAGCGAAGTAACAATCAAGTACTGTTGTAAACCCTGTGGGTCAAGAGGCTCTGTCACATTTGCATCTTGATATTTTTAAAATCTTGTATCTATTGTTTTTATTTAATTGGACCACAAGCTCCATATTATTGTAAATAAGCCGATCTGTTTTGGGTGTTGAGACTTTTTGTGTGACTTAACCCTTTTTGTCTTCTGTTTTAGTTGACTTCATATGTTTTCCATATTATAAGATAGCCCAATGCTGTAGGATAAAGCCCAAAGGCTTCTGCCTGAAAAAATTCTCAACTAGTGTAAAGACCATTACTCCCATAGGTTAGACTAGCTTTGGCATTGTCTCAAGTGCCTTAAAACACATGGCATCCAAACAAATTTACAGATTTGGTCTAATGCTGCGCAAACTGAAAAAAAAACAAGACAGAAAAACCTCAAGGATCAATCTTTCTTTGCTGGCTTCTATATAAATTCTCTGTTCTGTAAGGTTCAGTAGGCCTTTTTGTCAACATGATGTACAAGTTGCAGTAAATATCCTGTGGTACTAGATGTTATGTTTAGTTTTGGGGAAGCTGTGAGACTGGTGATGACATCGTGCATCATTTCTGTGAAATGTGTGCACATGCAACAAAAAAAGTCACATGACTATAACTATCGTTACTTTGGCTGACACACAGAATTTTAATTTTACCTGTGTTGCAAAATATTAGGGTATAAGTATCTCCTTAATGTTGTCAACTTACAATGAATGTGGCCCTGGTGAACATTGTTCAAACTCTTTCAGGATAACTGTAAACTGTCTCATCAGAGTACTGTGTTCAAGCACTGGCTTAACATAGCTGATACTCACTTTTAAGATCTATGTTTCCTGTATCTATTTAACTTGAAGTTGACCATCAACTGTTCCAACTTACTGAACATTTTAAAATTTATATGAAGTATTTGTTGGGAGTTGTTTCCAATTTAGTCTCTTTTTCTGTTTAGATAGAGCATGGCAAATTTGTCAAAATGTATATTTTGTCACTGAATGCTGTCACAGGCTTGTTGCACTCCTTTGGTTGTAGATTTTTAACTTTTACATATTTAATTGTCCCTGATTTTGTCCTGTATCTCCTGCAGCTGTCAATGCAGAGTGCCTGTTATATACTTTCTAGAGCTAAAATAAAGATGATTACTTTTGAACTATTTATAAGAAAACTCTTCGCGCTTCAATGTTGATGTTTAAAAGACTGCATGAAAACTTAATCTTTAAAACTTCCCTGACAGGAAATGTCAGCGAACCAGACTCACTTGGAATCTTAAAGCAGGGAAACGGTGACTATACACATCAAATTGTGACAGGCTGCAATGAAATAGAGTGAAGTAGGGCATCGAGGATGAGAATAGGATGACAAGGAAGCACAAAGAATGAGATGCAAATTAAAATGGGGGATACAGAACAGTAAAGGAAGGACTGAGAAGGCAGCAAAATGTAATGAATTTGTGCTTCCAATCAATGATGCTGGTTTTTCAGTGCATTCACCTCTTATCAATGTAATCAGAGCAAACAATTGAACAACTCAAGCACCAGCTGGATTCTTCACAACTGCAATTTCCACAACCTTTGCACTTGAAACAGATCTCCATAAGATCTCGAGATAAAGGAGCAGAATTAAGCCATGTGGCCCAATGGGTCTGCTCCGCCATTCAATCATGGCTGATATGTTTCTCAGCCCCATTCTCCTGCCTTCTCCCTGTAACCCTTGATCCCCTTACTAATCAAGAACCTATCTATCTCTGTCTTGATTACTCGCCTCCACACGCTTCTGCAGCAATGAGTTCCATAGATTCACCATCCTCCTATTGAAGAAATTCCACCTCATCTCAGTTCTGAAGGGTGATACCTTCACTCTGAGGCAGTGTCTTCGGACCCCAGTCTCTCCTACTATTGGAACCATCTTCTCCACATTCACGCTATCCAGGCCTCTTGGTATTCTGTAATTTGCCAATCAGATTACCCTCATCTTTCTAAACTCCATTATCCCAGAGTGCTCAACTGCATCTCATATGACAAGCCTTCCATCCCCAGGATCATTCTTGTAAACCTCCTCTGGATTTCCTCCAATGCCAGCACATCCTTCTTTAGATATAAGGCCCAAAACTGGTCACAATATTCCAAATGTGGTCAGACCAGAGCTTTATACAGCCTCTGCAGTACATCTTTGCTCTTGTATTTTAGCTCTCTTAAACTGAATGCTAACAGTGAATTTGCCTTCTTAACTTCCAACTGAAGCTGCATGTTCACCTTCAGAGAATCCTGAACTTGGGTTCCCAAGTCCCTTTGTGCTTCAGATTTCAAAAACCTTTCCCCATTTAGAAAATAGTCTACCCCTCTATTCTTCCTACCAAAGTGCATAATTTCACACTTTCCCAATTGTATTCCATCTGCCACATCTTTGCCCATTCTCCTAACTGTCCAAGTCCTTCTGCAGCCTCCCCACTTCCCCAACATTACCCGTCCCTCCACCTATCTTTGAATCATCTGCAAACTTAGCAACAATTCACTCAGTTCCTTCATCCAGATTGTTAACGTATAATGTGAATAGTTGTGAATGTCCAAACATGGACCCCTGTGGAACTCCACAAGCTACCAGCTGCCATTCTGAAAAAGACCCCTTCAACCCTGCTCTCTGCCTGTCCGCAAAACAGGCCACACTACCCAGGTGAATTGATTTTCTTGCTTAAACATATTGCCATTATTAACAATGGCAAAATCTGCCTTGAACTAGTAAGGCAGTGAAAAGTTCACACAAGAAACAAGTTTTAATCAGTGTCAATCCACCATCTGTGAGTGATGTTTTAAACCGACTGAAAAATGACTTTTAGAAAACTGCAAAGATATGTTTCCTAATTAGGATGGGCACAATAGCCAGTCCCTTGGGAAATTTTCAAAAATCAAAATCTTTAAAACATACCTTTCACTGATCTTGTACATAAATGTTCCAGTTTAATTTGCAAAGCTTCACTGAAGGGTTGCAAGTGAACACCATGAGCAAAATTTTCAAGTGGTGATTCCATTGTCTTAGGGTATGGCGACCTTTGTGGGTGGTCCCTGTTTCTCAGGCAACACTTTTAAAGCTAATTCAAATGGTAATAGATTTTCAAATTGCACACAGCTGAACCTGCCCTTAAAATGTTACCTTTTGTGCCTGTTATGCTAATATCTGCCAAATTACCCCAAAAAGTAAAAAGGTGTCATCAGAATGGAAACTCCAGACCATTATTTTTGCTTTTTCAGACTGTCAAGCCTATACTGCTGCATTCAAAATGAATGTTTGATTATGTGGCTACATCTTCATTTCCACACTAAAGCCTGTCACTGCCACCTTAAGAATGGCTAAAAAGCACCAGCCATATTTCACACTGTCGGTTGGATTTTCAGATTTTTTTTCGGCCGTGTTATTTTTCGGGTGTTTCACTGTAGGTGTCCCATCATGGCTCACAATGAGTATTCTCACCCTATCTTCCACTACGTTCTGCTTGCAAAAAAGACCCTGAACTACCTGTTGCCTGCCATTCAATGCAACACCTTGCTCCCTGGCCAACATCTGTCTCCGGCTTGCTACAGTGTTCCAGTGAAGCCCAACGCAAGCTGGAGGAACAACACCTCATTTTCCGCTTGGGTACCCTACAGCCCTCCGGACTCAATATTGAGTTCAATAATTTTAGGGCCTAAACTCTCCCATGTCCCAGGCCCCCACCCCATACACCAGGCCCTGTTACCACATAGCCTGCCATTACACACCCCCTGTTGTTAGTCACTAACAGTCCCCATTAACAACTACTCACCCTCCCAGCCTGATCGTTAGCAACTCCTTTGTCTGTCCAACTGTCTTTCTCTCTCTTTGGGCTCTATCCTATCGTTTACTCCCAACCCCACCTACCTCCCTATGTTCTGCATATAAACTGACATTTTCCTACCACCATCAGTTCTGAGGAAGGATCACCGGGCCCCAAACGTTAACTCTGTTTTCTCCTTCACAGATGCTGCCAGAACTGCTGAGCTTTTCCAGCAACTTTGTTTTTGTTCCTGATTTACAGCATCCGCAGTTCTTTTGGTTTTTACAAAAAATACATGACCAAAATAAAAAATATATTTACTGTCTAACAACGAATTGACATAAAACATACCAGTTATTCATCATGGAACAAATGCTATTTATTCCATAACTATCACAAATCCTCCATTTTAACTAGTGGTGGTAATCTTTACTTACACAGTACAGACTTTCCTTCCAACCTCACACACTGGATGGAAAGCAATTTGTTGCTTCTGAATTGACTGAAATAACTCGGTTTTTTTTATTCATTAATGGGATGTGGGCATGACTGGCTATCGTCCATCCCTAATTGCCCAGAGGGCAGTTAAGAGCCAACCACATTGCTCTGGGTCTGGAGTCACATGTAGGCCAGACCAGGTAAGGATGGCAGTTTCCTTCTCTAAAGGACATAAGTGAACCAGATGGGTTTTTCCGACAATGGATTTTTTTTTTTGACGAGTGACGAAACACTCGCGATGGAAACTGTACGATTAACGATTCACTCTGATTCCATTTCTTCTCCAACCAAATGGAAAACGGGTTGCACTGACCTGCTGATATAACAAGGTGTAGAGCTGG